CGTTCATCCGTTTGACCTCATCCGTTCGAAAATTTTAATTAGCCGTTCATCTGTTCATAGTATCCGTTTCGAACAGCTTTCCAAGCCGGTCGTCACCTGTTTGCTTGCCGTTCCGTTCACAGTTCGAACGGCTACCGTTAGGAACGTTTTCGCGTGAGAGGTCACAAATAATTATATATTAAGTAGATTGAAGTCAAGGACATGAGAGATCTGAATTTTAGTTAAGACACAATTCTACCATGCCCTTACACATACATTTCTATATCAATATCATTACTTTCATAGATATCTGGTCTTTTCATTCATGATTCTTTTCGTCAAAGTCTTTTTGTCTTAAGTCTTAGGTCCATTTGTCTAATAGTCTTAATTTCACAAAAGCTATCACATCGTTTTAAATGAAGTTGTAACACAATATATTTCATTAAAATAGTGACAAAAATAAAGGCCTGCTTTTAAATTATTTTGCACGAAACAAATGGGAATATTAGGCTTGTTGTTAAACGTCTATTAGGTGTGATAGACAACTAAGTGTAACATCACTAAGACTAGTGTCCGACATAACCAACAAAATAGTCCAACATGATAAAGAAATTAAACTTAGTCAAAAATAACCCCAAATAAGCATATTCTCTGTGTATTTATCATAATTCACGATGCTGAATTCGAAGTTATTTATTTGCTTCGAGAAAAGATTTGATTAACAATTACATGAACAGACTTGCACGAAAAGACTTTTGGACAAAAACGAAAAGACCATAAGTCCTTTCATAATAGTTATTAATAATAACAAATAAATTAACTGATAATGTTTTTCCACTTCAGATGTTAAAAAAGCATCGACTGAACTTTGAACAATACTACCTAGCTACCAATGAAACACACACATACACCTGTACATCATACCAACATAGTTACGAGTTGTCTTTTGTTCAAGCATATTAGCTGTCGACGTGAAAAGAAGCAAGATGGTTTTCGTATCATGTTTCGTTAATACAATGAATTATTAACTTGATTTCCTAATTGACTTTGATTGACACTAAGTTTTGCAATTAAGCCACGTGAATAAGTTTGCTTTTAGTTCAGATGTTTAGATTCGAAGTGACCTTCATGTTTTGCTGACCTGTCGCGCTGACCCGTATTCTGTTATACCCTGATCTGTTATATCTGTTGCTGACCTGTATACCGTCAAACAATCCTACTAGACATCGCCACAGAAGTAAGTTATCAGTGCTGCAATTCTAGCTAATAGTTTGATTCGTGTGATTATGTATCGATAGATCCTGTTCAGTTTCTCAAATGTATTTAATTTCTTTTCTTTAGATCGAATAATAATATACTGGAATAAATTATACGATTTGCGTAAGCTAGTTGGATTGCCTGTTTGGTTTATCGGACCAGTCACTTTCTTAATCACAAAGACGGCAGCCAAATGGCATTGAAAGTTCCCTGCCTCTAAAAAAGTCACGAAGCGATCTTTAATTAAAGCCTTTTGAGTCGAAGAGTTCAACTTGTAATTTATCCTAGCAATATGTAAGTTGATTGTTGGATAAATTCTTCCTGTTGACACTTAAGGAAATATATGGAGAACAGTATGGAGAATATGCATACTGGTATAAAATTTATCTTCTCGAGAAGCTCTCACCTTTTTCCCGTCCCGACAAGATAAGTGTTTGTTCCTTGGAGCGTCATTGGGCTAGGATTACAACCCAAGATGCGTAAAACACGCGGAGAGAGTTGTTCCACAGTTGGTAAGCTAACCAGATTGCCTGCAAAACCAGAATATGAGGAAACCCATCCCGCCATCTTGTTTCCCATCTTGCTCTCATGGGTAAATCCACCGGCCGTCCGCAGGCTCAACGTTCTTGTTGCTATGCAGCAAGTTGGTGGAGCGTTCGTAGAGACGATTCATTAGACGGTCAACACAAACATGGAAAGCACTGAACAGGAGAAAGACAAACAAAAATCGTCTGCGGCTAAAAATCAAGACAACATGGCAGCAACGAGTAATTTTGCGCTTTTTTCTGTTTAATTCAAGTTTGACGCAATTCTAAATGGAATACTTTTGCGTTCTTGCAGCTGCATCTCGAATAGACATTCTGTCCCAGGCAAAGCCTATCCCTGCTGGATTCTTTGAGGATAGGTAAGAAATCTGAGACAAACTCTGTTGAGAAGACATAGTATACAATTTAAAACCAAGATTTCTAAAATTGTATACGTGTCTTTATTAGGGCAGAGCGGAAACATCTTATTGGTGAGGAAATGTTTCGTTTGCAGGGCAAAAATATTAGTCTTAGACTTGTTCCTCACATTCCTTCACAAAACAATTAAATTTGAAAAATTACTGCTTGCAAATTATCTCTCTTATATTGGAACTCGTTAGTAAACGATTGAGACAATTAGTTCATGGGAATGGGAAGACTGTAAAGTCAAGCTCGAAATTTCTGACATCCTTGCAATGGTTTCTGCGGTCATGAAATACAATACGTGTACACCCACATGCTGACTTATTAATTTGTTGCTCTCTGAAATTGTTTTCAGGCGATCAGTTTACTGGGATAATAATTTTGCAAAGGACTGGGAAAACATACAATCGACTAAAAGTGGTAAAGTAAATGTATCTACATACAGTTTTGGGTTTCATAACAAACAATTAATATTTATTGCAGGTAAAAATTACGCAATTTCTCGTCTTCTAGAGTTACACCGATCTCTTGTAGTCCTAAATAAACTAAACATCCCTGTTCTTAGCAACCAAAATCACTTTGTTCAATAGATACCGCAGCATTCAAGGATAAAAGAGATGTTTTACATGTAACAGTTTTGTATGGCCTTTTCTAAAATCAATTCAAGGTGGAGTTGTATTTTATTGTCATATTTAATAAGTACAGCATGCGATTGAAACATTCGAAACAAAAGTTCTGCTTCATCTACATATTGATTGAAAATAATTTACAGTGCCAGAGGCCACCTAGGAAAACCAAATTTGCTAAAGATTTTCTAATAAAATCATGCACAACTGTATGTGAGTTTTCTACCTTGTTTTATTAAGAACGAGAAAATTCAGTCGATGCTCAAAATGTGGAGGGCTTTAAAGAAATATTGAATGATGTAGTCAAGCATATAAATAACGGACACTTAATGATCCAGTTAAATATTTTTTGCACATTTTTGTTATAAATCAACAGTGTTGAGTGACAGACAAGCACAGCTTGTTTATAGCAAACAACTTCATAGAGATTATGTTGGAGACAGGTAAGGCAAATTAATTTTTCTTAACTTTACTGTATATGTAGATTGTGCACAAATCATTGCAACCCCGAAGTGATTTCACAATTAATACAACTATAACAAAATTCTCTAACATCGGTGGTTATCACCAGTCAGATTTGAGCACTTTTAGGACAGTATATATACACATAGTACATTATGCCTGTGTAACTGGACAGTAAGCATCACATCTAAACAAGGTGTTGTCATCACGCATTTTGAATCCGTAATAACATGATTTCCAGTGCAATTTGGCGTGTTAACAAGCTGGTGTAAATTTTTCTAAGGCAGCAATTAAATTGCACGAGTCCATGTATAGAGCGAGTGCAATTTGATGTAGCCTTTGAAGAATTTACATGACTGTGCTTCTATACACCAATCATGTTGTTACTTATTAATTATTTGGGACATGAAAGAAAGCTTAACAGGCAGTCAAAACAGACAAAATTTTGACAGTGCACACCCTTTTTTGTTCCTCAAATTTTGATGTACTTTTGATAATTTGGTAACAGGGCTTCAAGTTCACCAATTCTGTCCATAGTCCTACCCATAATTAACAAATCAGACTTTTCCTTCACAGTCATGCATCCAATTTTGTTTATCACCTATATGATAACAGACCAAACTGAATGACACAACATCCTATTACCATTACTCATCACAACAATTTCATGTTTATCAACTGAGATTAATAAATCACCTGCTGTAAATTTACTTATCATTCTGTGTAGACCTATAGCTTACAAAATGAAGTGAATTCAAAACCTGAAAAATGTACCCATAATAAATGTTTTAAAGATTCAAATATTGCAAGATGCTTCCTAAACCCCCTACACCCTACTGTTTTCCAGACATCATCACGCATATTCTTGAGACTGTTCTTCATAAATTTGGTAAGGTGCTGAAAAGGAGAATTTGTTTAGTGCTCACAAACTTCTCTGGTTGGTGATCACTTCTCCCAATTCTTGTTACCGTCATGTTTGATTCAGGGTTGATCTTGTCAGGAGAAACTATCTGCTAATCATTCTAACGGGTCAAAGGATTAATGACAGCTATTTTATACTCAACAGAAAAAGTGCAATCTGGCCTGTGAGTGAGGAGGCAATGAAAGCAACAGCGTCACAACGGCTGGAAACCCTGTCGGAGGCAAAGGCTCTTCATCGTGATTACCAACCTTGCCAACAAGTGCAAAGAGTTGTCAGTGAAGCAGCAATGAAGGCCCAACCTTCTCCACGCATTGAATTCCTTGCGCAGGCCAAAACATTTGTTCCCTTAAAAATCAAATCAAATAGTGACTGGGATTGGAGTGAGTGGGAATCTGATTTGACAGAAGCCGCCAAGAATGCAACAGCATCAGAAAGAGTTCTTGTGCTTTCAAATCCTAAGATGCCACACCGCAATTACAAAGAAGGGCGTCCTGTGATTTGGGAAGTGTCACAGACAGCCCAGAAGGCTCTCCCATCTCTCAGAGTTCAGCAACTTGCAAGGCCAAAGAGTCGCAGTCAGCACAATGAAGACTATGATGCTAATGCATGGAAAGTCTCACAGGGAGCTAAAGCAGCACAGGCTACCCCCAGAATAGAAGAACTCGCTTTACCCATCCCTAGAAAAGTCAGAAGTAAAAAAGTTTTGTGATCCACTTTTATTAATAATTTATTTATTGATTATCAATTAAGTTCAAATTTATCTATTATGATATGTTATGCACACTGCATTTAATATTGTTCTCTTTGTGCTGCAATGAATACCTTTGTTCAATAAATGACAAATCTACAGTCTCTTAGAGCAAGACTTTTGTTGGACTATACATGAAAAAACAATAAAAAGCAACTGTTTACCCTAAGAAACAAGGCTGATTTTTTGCACACTTGCAACATAGGAAAAACTAATAGAGGAATAATTTCTGTAAATTACTTTGCACCCATCAGAACCTTGCAACCTGTTGGCGGTTATGCAACTTATTGCATGACACACATAATTATAATGAGCCTGCAATCTACATGCAGTCTTGTTACTGTACAGTTATTTCTTTCACTTATGGAAATTGTGTTTGTCTTATAATGGGATGCCATTGGATCTGAATGTTTTAAGAGTGCTTTACTCAGTAACCACGCGTTCATTGGTATGTCACGCAACATTTCTTGTGACTTAAAAAAAAAGTCATGTGACCAACTTCAAGCTTGTTGATAAAGTACTGGAAAAAAGGATTGTTTGTATCAAAGATGTAAGCGCTGTTTCCTTCCCAAAGCAAACTTAAGGAGTAGATCTCTGACAACAGAAGACATGTTTCATCTTTGAGCAAAGATCCTTCATGTTAAAGTTCACTACTATTCCCTCGTGATAGGATTTTCAGCTTGTCATAGATACTCCAGTACACTTTCAAATTAGCTTTTACAGTTGGAATTTGCAGTTCGCTTTATAGTGTCAACAAGGGCTTCTTGAAGAACTGGTAAAATTCTTGCACAACCTTCCATGCCACACTTTATGGCCTAAAGAAAAAAGTGATAGATAACAATTACAAAAATTTTTAATATAATACTAAATTAGGAACTTGGTTGAACGTTGATTATGCATCATTCTGTGTTCTTTAATTTCAATATTTACAGTACTGTTGTTGTTTTTTCCAGGGGAGGGGAGGGTAGAAACTACCAGAATCAAATGGCAAATAATTGATTTGGTATCTATTTAATTGCATTTTTTTTCAAAAATCATTACATCAGGATCGCACTAGCTAGGTGAAATAACATGTTGTGGGACTAATTTTTGGCAAATAGATGTTAATAGCTATTTCCTTGTCTGAGCACTAATTATCTAAGGTCATACACAGAGACAAGATGAAACTCTTTCACAGAAGGCAAGTAAGTAAGCAAAAAACAACTCAAAAACTGAGTGCCAGTATATGATCAAACCCCTCCCCCCTCCCCCCCCATATCAAAACACTCCACCATCTACGAGTTTAACAGTAAGAAATTGCTCTTCAGTAGTGCCACTAGAATGATGACAAAGTAACAAGAATTTGGCTCCGAATTTTTTATCTCCAGAACTTTGTTTCATGATTTACCTTTGTTTTTGAGATACATCCTATCTACTGCTGCAGGTGATTCTGTAATCAGTAATATTTTTTTCAACTATTGTTTAAAATTGGCCAGTGTGTGTTAAATCTGTTGTGTGGGTATACAGCTAGAAATTACAGTACCAGTGAAATTTTTTTTTATTGGTATTAGAGCTAAAGATCTCATTTAACACAATGAATTACCTTAGTGGACTGATCCTGGGTCATTTCACCATCTTGTGACAAACCAGACACAACATTCATGGTGGGAAGAAATGCCACAGTAACCCTCCCATCAATATCTGATGATGAAGTCTAATAAAAAAGTGATTAAAAATTAAGACTGGAAAATAAAACTTGTATTATCTAATGTTTATTTTCAACTCAAAAAAATACTGTCATTAGGATATTTCAAAGGACAGAGAGAAGTAAAATGTAAAGCATTATTTGTTTGAAAATTGTACAGTGATATATTAGGAAAGGCCATTAAAAAGAGTATTGAAAGCTTGACAGTGTTAAATCAAAGAAGCCTGTTCCAGAGCTAAATCAGGGTGAAATAGTAAACATTATGCAATAAAAGTGGCAGAGTGAAACATTTCAGGGCTGGTCATGTCAAGAGAGTTCTCTAGTGAGATCTTTGTGCAACCTCAACCACACCTTCCTGGTTTTTTCACTCTTGACAGATCTAGACAGACTGGAATCAAATAAAGAAAAGAGTATCACCTTGAACAACTATTGTCCATACCCATTACATGTAATCCATTAGACCATTATTTTTGTTCATTCAGTCTTTACCTCTTGAAATGTGGGATCCACCAGTGATGTGTCACCTTTCTGCACCTGAAGAAATCATGAAACAATCAGCGAACCATTTCACTTCCATGACCATAATACAAATTCTCTACATTCATTACTTTGCATTCCTTGTCATCTAAGCTTTAAGAATTTTGTAACTAATTGTAAAAAACCTCTCTGCAGGTTGATGTTTTTTCTCACCACTAATCACCTTTCCACTTGAAAAGGTATAAAAAAAAAATGAATCTTGAAAGGAAAAATCAATTTTGATCACTTCCACGTTACAATTCAAAAGATCTAACACCTAAATTTCTGTGCTGAGTTAGTTTCCTTACCAAAGAACAAGAAGAGACTAGGTCATACATTTCTATTCCAGCCTCTCCCAATGCCAGTGATGCACAAATTATTCCTGCAGAAAGAGCTGTATATACAGAAAACAACAAAATTGGTTATAAATTTAAATTAAATAAATACGAAAAATCCTCAGGTGACAGTGTAGCATATGCAATGTAGTTTCATATTTATTGGTTATGCGGATATCCTTATACCAAGATATTGTACCTAATGTTAGAGCCTTCATGTTGACATATTTTTTCCTTGTTAACATTCATTTCTCAACTTTATTACTTGACCTCAATTGTATGAGATCATACTTATGGATTTCTCAATGTGCTGGAGACTGCCAACCATCAACAAACTGAAAATATTTCACATGACTGCTAAAACTTGATGAAAATTTCAACTCAACATNGATGTCATTTAATTCCAATTCAAACCAAATTAAAAAATTAAAGACTGGCAGAGGTAAGTGATCAAAAATTAAATAATTATTAACTCTTTATCCTTGAACAAAAGTGTAAGCTTAAGTTTATAATCTTTTTTCTCATGAAACCCATCCATGTTACATTTAATTTTAATAATTATTCATTTCATGTTAAGTAAAATGAAAAAAAATAAGTCAACAGACTATAAAAATAATAGGAAAAGTAAAGAGGCCAAATACTTTTGTGTTCAAGATTGAGTGACTTTGTTTGTAACTGTTGATTCATAGGATTGAAACATACCAAGCAAACTGCTGGCTGAAGAGCTCGGACAGCAAATGTAGATAGCTCCTTCTCTTCTGAATCCTAAACAACAGAAAGGAAACAAAATTGGTTTTATAAAACAGCTATTTTCAGTGATTGGTTTACAAAATGTAATTGAATGTTAGAGACTCTGTAGATCAGAAGATTCTGAAATTCAACAAAGGTCATCTTCGTACTGTGATATTTGGATATACAGCAATAAAAACCTTCAATGTTCTCTGATTTCAGTACTGTAATCCACACACTATCCACATGGCAGCCAACGAGTACCACAACAGCAACTTTCGCTAAGCATCACGGGATGCCTACAAACAGAACCTTTTCACACATCCGGTACAATACACTACAGGTAACAATATCATGTCTTTCACATCAAAAGTTCCCAAGTATATCTTAAATTATAGTATCAAATTATTCTTTAGTTCCTGAAATTATTTTCCCTCATAATAACTAAGTCATAATCACCTGTACGTGTTGTCGCCTTTGCCAGCATGAAAATGGTGCAAACTTAAACTCACAAGTCAGCTTTCCCTTTTAAAAATAAAACTTAGAGGTTATTTCTGAGACATTAAAAAAGAATAAGCAAAACATTCCACAGTACATTTTACATATTTAAGTGATATAATACATTCAATGTACAAATATTTGGTTGAAATATATTATGTCCATTGTTTTCATTCATATCTTTTCAAAAGTTCCTCAATCTAGTTTTTACTCCATTACCTTTGAATCATGCAGAAGTTATCATATCTGGTTATATTAAAATTATACTTATGAATTTCAAAGTCAACAAATGATCACATTTAAAAAATTCACCAAAAACCAAACTAACACAACATTAATGATAAACATCTCCTAAAATGCTACTTTTTAATAACAGCCGTTCCCAAATATTCTGCACACCAGCTGTTAACATTAAATTTATGTAGAGTGACAGAAAAAATTATACCAATTTACCTTTTTGCTAAACTCTTGCTGTCTTTGTGACTCTCTTGGTCCATATCTAATACTGAGTTAAAAGGCAAAAATCATTTAATGCTATTTCTGATTTTACCCTGACATGATAAAAAGGAGAATGAAAATGAAAATCATTATACTTGACATTCCTTTCTTTGACTGTCCAGTACTTATCAGTGAAAATGTTTCTATAAATTTTGCACTGTTAGAAAGTTAGCAATAAACAGAGAACCAAAGAGGCCCTTGGCTACCATGTGTCTGCTTGAACACACCAACTATTGGCTAAATTTAAACACAAAGCTTAATTAGCAATCAACTAATGAACTGTTTCTAGATAAATCTTGCACTATAATAATGACAGTGATGAGTAGAAAACCAAAGAGGTAATTGGCTGCAGTGTCATTTTGAACACATCAACCTGACTGTCAAACCTTGACATTGGTTTTCAATGTTTGAATTGAATTAGAAACACAAAGCCACAGAGAAACAATAATCTTTTAAACAAGAGATCCACATTTTTTTCTCAAAATGACAAAATTCTGAAGAGGGATGTTCACCCCTTGGCTTTGAACTGATTTGAAATTCTAGAGATTAATTTTCCATGAGTACAAGTTCATGTAGTACACAATCACATAAGGATACACAGCACATGTAACTTTGGTGTTCTGCATTTCAATGTATGCTGAGCCTCTCGCTTGACTGACTACCCCTGAACGCAAAACTAGAAATGGTAATAAAAGAGGAACTTAACATTAATACAGTAAAACTGAATAACAGTTCCTCACACATTTAATTAAACCAATTACTAGTTAAAAGTGACTATAATTACAATATATTTCACTAAAACCAGATGAGATAATAATACACCACATGATCCAACATAATGTTTCTCCCCGAACCCCTCTTTACAATGACATTTGCTAAGCAATATCATGTACAAAACACTTTGATGAGGAACATTGGATTGGGTAAGGGGGGGCAACATTTTGGTTATCCATGCTGAATTGACCCTACAGTTTTCTCTAAGTTCGAACTTAATTAAACAAAACAACACATAACCTTACTCCAAACTCCTTAACTCTGACTATATCTCAAAAAATGCATGCATGAGTACCACAGGACAATTATTTATAGTGACTCAGTTGACTTAAAATTTAATTATTGCACAATACAAGCTCATCAGTGGTACACTATTTGTGACCGGGCACAGGATTTCGTAAACTAACGCTTTACCGTTTAACGAAATAATCCGTTTACTATCCGTTTATTATCCGTTTAAAACCGATCATCAAAGCGTTTAAATGCTTTCTTCATCCGTTTAAACGCTTTGCTCATCCGTTTAACGTTTTCGACAACACGTTTAAATGGTTAACCTACCCTTTTTAAAAAAAATCCAGCCGTTTAACGGTTACTTGCATCCGTTCAACGTTTTTGAAGAGCAACGGTATAAAACAGTCCCAAGAAGCACCCGTTGAAAATAAATCACGCTTCGATCGAGCGGCTATGTTGGTCTTCGCTACAACTTACTGTTTGCAAATCTCTGGTATGAGAAGGTCTTCTATTAGAAGAATTCTCTCTAAGATATTGAGACATGAGAGCTCGTATTACCTTATGAAAACGGAATGATATTTGTTAAGTAACACGAGAAGAGCGAGATTTGTTTTCGTGCTTATGCAAATTTATTTCGATAGACGTGTACGGCAAAACTATTTACCGAATCGGTGGCCATTGGGTTTCTCATCTTTTATTTCCATCGATTGAAAGGAAATGAAAATGGCTTTATAAAAGCTATAATTACAAATTACTTTACGAAATCGAACGCTAGATGAAACATGAGCGAAAGAAAGTTGCATATGCAAAATTGTTTCNTTGCTCTACCGTTTAACGCTTTGGACTATCCGTTTAAATGGATATGCAAACCGTTTAAACACTCTTACTACCCGTTTATTATCCGTTTACAAACCGTTTATTTTCAACCGTTTAACGAAAAAGCGTTAGTGTACGAAATCCTGTGCCCGGTCACATTTGTGCGCATTCCACATTCTTATATATGCAACAGTATAAGTATTAATTATTAGTCATCATAACTGGATAATTTCAATTACAATTACTAACTTCTTTTTCATAAGAACTTATCATATATGAATTATTTTAGTACAATTATTATAATAATTGTTATAAACCAACGATGGCCAACTGCTTACTCGATCGCAACGACGTTTTAGGGGACGAAACCTCTGTTTTAAGTTTTCAGTATCTAATGCCCTGACTGCTAATGACTGCCTTAAATTGTTTTCTATGGAGCATTCTCGTTCATCTGTTGCTACGACTTATTACGCCAACTTACAGATCGGTCGAAGTTCGTCTGTTTTCCGGCCATCTCTTCGTAAACAATCACCACCGATCTGAGGTTAAAAACAAAATCACTCAACGAACGTACAAAGTTAAAGCTGAAAAAAAGAGGAGAATTCTGTTCCTTTCGTACCAGAGATTTATCTAATGCTTTTTCTCCACTAACTACGACTCGCTGGGTGACTTCAGGTCCTGCAATTCTTCTGTAATCAACTGGCATCGTGCTGTAAAGACAACAACACAATTTTCGCCAGGCGTTCTCGAATATGCACGAGGGACTGAGCCAGCGAGGTAATTGGGGGGGGGGGGAGAGGGAGACGCAATTCTCGGCCAAAAATGAGCAGCGAAACAAAATGGAAAGAAAGCGAGAAAGCTTTACTTTGATTATCAATTATTTCATCTGTTAGGGGACATTTTTACAGAAGACCGTATCTTCGATTCACTGACGAAAATACTTGAAATGTCATGATCATTTTAAACTGCAGTCATGTAGTGGAAATCTATTTTTGCGACATTTCACAGAGGGGCATCTAATAGATTAGAATAAGTTTTCAAAATGAAGCATTTTAATCAGATAAAAACCACAAGGTAATTTAGGCGGAACAGAATAATCCATGAATCAGTTCGAGCCCCCTCTCATCCCCACCCAGGCCAGCTATCGACAGCAAAAGAAATATGGCGAAGAGACTGGATCAAAGTTTCGGTGCTAGGGTGTGGAACGGTGAACAAGCGAACCCACGACTTTTAAGGTTGGTGGTGAAAGTTAGAAACTACGAAAGGGAATTTACTTTGGAGTTATCACAACTTCCTAGCTTTCTCGTGTGTGGAGAGTTTCAGAGTTTTTCTATGATCGATAACTTTCACAGCAACGAATAATCAAATGTACGTGGGGGCAGATTTGTTTTCCTTTTGAGGTTATTGGGCGAATCGCTTCAGAGCTGGGGAATTAGTTGAGCATGTCACATAAGAAGTGCATTTCGTTAAACACAACGCTAATAGAAACGGGAAACCATTCCAGATAGATTTCTTTGGAATGAAGTGGGATGGCTTGAGTTCTACATGCATCTTGCTTTATGACGTATTTAAAATTCGTTCTGGTTGAGTTGGTAATCTCTTTCTTCGGGTCTATTTATTAACATGGACCTTGCAATGTCACTCTCTCTGAAGAAGGATGAGAAAAACAAACTGCATGCATATCAATCCGTCTTGCAAACCCACGAAGCTGTGAAGTTAATGTGTCGTTCAGTCCAGTAGGATCAACTTTTCCCACCTGGCGGAGATCCACCTGATTGCAAAGAGTTTGATATCACTCTTCTGTTTCTCCTTTTGACCAACATTTGTGGTCTAACCCCTCCTTCCTCGGGATGGCACACGAAGCCACCTGTGAGTGACACCTCTCTTGCGGCCAAATTTGCCCGTGTGAAGTTTTTCCGCAATGAGTTGTATGGCCATATGTCCACCACTGGTGTTGAAATGTCAGTGTTCTCGTCTCTGTGGCAGGAAATTAGCACAGTCCTTGTCGATCTTGGGTTAGACCAAGGAGAAATAGATAGATTAAAAGCGGAACATATCGGAGAGGAAGACTATATTGACTTGTTGAGTGAGTGGTCTGAGAGCGAGGAGGATACAAAGTCGCAGCTGAGGGATATACGTAATTTCCAGATACAGATGCGTAAAGACGTTGTAGATCTACGTCAGAACCAAAAAGAAGACCAGAAAACACTGGAGGATACCAAGAAAATTGGAGGAATTTTCCCAGTGTCAGGTAAAAACTCTTGAAGCTGTTGAAGAAATGTAAGTGGGTATCGAAGGATTTAAACAGGTGGCTGAGAGCGAAAAGAAGAAAAGGGAAGAGAATAGGGAAGTTGAGGTCCTGAAAAGCCTGGAGGACGTCGACTTCCGAGGAGACATTGAATATCGTGTACAAAGATTCGAAGAAGGAACTCGCGAATGGATCTTCCAAAAGATCTTTGGATAGCTCGACGAAAAACGTTCCGAAAATCGGGTAATGGTCATAAGTGGCAATGCTGGCATGGGAAAGTCAGTTATCTCGGCTGTTGTGTGTAAGAGAATGCAAGAAGCCGGTCGACTGTCAGGAAGCCACTTCTGTCAGCACAACAACGTACGCTATCGGAATCCGCAGCTAATGCTTCAATCCTTAGCCTCTCATTTGACTCACACCTTACCGGAGTACAAGGCAGCTCTCGTGGAAAAAATATCACGCAATCTGGGGGTATCACTTAACAGCATGGGTGTCCAAGAGCTGTTTGCTTTGCTTTTGAAGGAACCTCTTCATGCTGTTCGAGATCCAGGAAGAAACATGTTAATGGGGATAGATGGCTTGGACGAAAGTGAATAGGGACCTTAAGCAGTCAGGACGGCAACGCCAAGGAAGACTTCGATTAAAAAATGAATTTCTACTCTTAGTTAGAATTTTAAATATGGCTGCAGGAGCTTACTGTCTCATACGACGCCACAGCTCAACTTCAGCATGACGTATAAAAGCAGCGTTGAGTTCCAAATGGAAATTGAAATAATTTGCCGTCGCGGTTTCGGTTCGCAGATGACACAAATTTTGGCGATTTCACGTTGTTGTTTTGCATAGGACGGCTAAGAAATGTACAAAGTTTCAAAATGCACGTGCTGGGCTATTGTTCTGCCAATTAGATCTCTTGTTTTTCCACGTCCTCGTTGCCGTCGCCGTCGTGGTTGCTTAAGGTCCCTAATATCAAGGACGGAACGAGCTCCTCGATGTCATTGGCAAGCATTTCTGTATGCTCCCAAAATGGATTCGATTTCTCGTGATAGCCCGACCTGAAATAAACATTACAGAGAGCTTGAAGCATCTTCAGCCCATCCACCTTAACCAAAAACAGAACGAGAACTTGAAGGACATTAAGCGTTTCTTTGAACTACGTCTGGGAAAGCAACTTGAGCAAAAGAGAAGAATGTTCTCTTGGACAAACTGGTTCAAAGGACCGAAGGTATTTTTCTATTTGCGCATTTCCTTAGTGCTGTACTCGAAGAGAATGCCTCGCTACTTACTCTCGAGGAGGTGGAGAGCAGATTTCCTTGGGGTATTTCGTCCGTTTATCTTGATCATTTCAAACGGTTGGAGAAGGAACTCTGCTTAGGGTTAAAGGTTGAAGAAGATCAAGTGATGCGTTTTCTTTGCGCCTGAACAGCTTCCAGAGAGTCCCTTCCTGTAGCATTTGTATCCAAAGTTTTAGAACTTGATATGAAGTCCTGCACCGCTCTGCGAAAGGTAAACAAAGCAAATCCTGTATCTCAACTTTGTTGCCAATCCGCGAAAATCGACTTCACTTCATCCACAAATCAGTGAAAGATTGGTTAGCAACTGCGTCGTTGTATGATCGACATGAAATCATCGTGGACGAGAAAGAAGGCCATAAGATCCTCTTTGACCTTTGCAGCGCTGAGCTTGACAGAATTAAAGAGAAGGAACTTCTCGATTCCTAGTTCAACGACGCTGAACGGTACGCATTGCAACATAGTGTCCAGCATATGACTGAGCTGAATGGACTGGGTGATCGTCCAATAACGTACCTAGATCGCCTGGTAAAATCCTATGTGCTAGACTTAGAACTAATTATTTGTAGACTTTGTGTAAACAGCATGGTTCCTTCAGATGATCTAAAAAGTGTTCAAAGGCACGTCAACGTCACCTCACTTCAAGAGGGAAGTTATTTTTCATTAATCTATTTGTCAAAATCCCTACGAAAACACTCCCATCTTTTGAGAGACCACCCAGAGGCTTTGTTTCAAAGTTTGGTCAACGAAGGTCCCCCAAACTATCTGTTAGAGCAGCGGCGATCCTTGAAAACAAGCCCCCTCATGCCTCGTACATGACGTACTTAGACAGAGAAGAAGAACAAGGAGTAGTACAAGGTCGATTTTGCTGTTCAGATACCGTAGCATGCTTTGATATTTCACCTGAAATGGATCATATGGTGTGTGAATGCCGAGATGGAACAATTCAGCTCTGGTCTCTTCAGACAGGGAATGAAGAATGGAAAAGACCTGCCTTATTTCCGAGAGAATTCTCGTGCGTATCGCGTTCAGGTGGTTTGTCTAACGATCAAGGAGCATATCGTGGTATGGCGCGTGGTTTGACTTTTTATCGCTCGGTAGTTTTTGACGCTAGTGGGAAATATGTCCTACCAGGATACATGCGAAATGTGTACACTCTCAATGGAGACTCCTAGGAGCTTTTTCCGAAAAGTGATTGCGTTTTTTTACATTGTGCGTTTTCTAGAGACAGGAGAATGTTTTTTACTGACTGTAGTGATGATGCACAGAAAATCTCTTTGTGGAACATGAACGATGGTGCTGAGCTATGCTGCCTATTTTTGGATGTAAAAGTTGCATGCTTTGCTCTTTCCCAAGTCACTCGTCATAGCTGCAGAATATACTGGGTGCTTGTATATTGGTGATGTGGAAACATGTCAAAGACGGAAGATCAAATATGTTCATTGTGGACTAATCCGCATTGGTGTCGATGGAAATTACATTTTTGGTTATCTAGGTTTTGTGTCGAACACCTGTGCATGGTACTTACCGTTGTGGAATGACGACAGCGAAAACCATTACCAACTGATTTCCATTCGAAATGAAGGTCGATTCTCTTCCTCGACAGGTGTCTCATTGCCGTCAATTCAACAAGGCGGATTTCTGTTATGGCCCATTGATTTAAGCACTTTAGATTTAACAGATTTTCACGAGAAAAAGGCGGGGTCTTGTCTGCTGCAGAGTGTGCACCGTGTTTTTCCAGATTTAAGAGCAGGATTTTACACGAGGTTATCAGATAGCACAATACAGGCCAGTAGCCCATCTTTCAATTACGTTGCTCTAGTGGACGTGAGTCATCGAGATTGCTCCTTTAAAGCCCACCCGTCAGTGAGGTGGTGCTTTCACCTGAGAAAGAAACTCTATACTCCATTTGTTCGGATGGCAGGTCTTCAGAAGTGACCGCCGGTCGAATCAATAAATTTTAATGCCGAAGAAGTCTTTCGCTTTTCCGTCTTCGTTTCTTCTCCCTGTGAGGGACGGTGTCGTTCTTTATATGGGGAGCGGAATTGCAGAGCTGTGGAATTTAGAACTGACCAGATGTATCCGACCTCTTTCAAAACTGAGTGGTTATGAAAAGCTTTCTCTTATATAACAGGAACTGATTGCTTGTCAAAGTCAAGATCATTCATGTAGAACAGATATACCAGATGTGGTAGTTTATTTTCCAACCGAGGAGACTGAATATTTTTGGTTTTCATCAAAAGTGAAAATGAATCCAGCTAAATCATATCTGTAAGGCTCAACCACCTTTAAAATGCTCGAAGTAGAAATCCTGGACGTTTTCAGTGACGATTTTATTTATTCCTGGAAAACAAAGGTCTTTTCCGACGAAAGTATTGAATTTGTCTATTGCAATATTCGTGGTGACTTTCTCGTCTGTTCTTGTTGGGAAGTGGAAGATAACCAGTTTGAATCAATCGATTTGAAAATCTGGTGGAGAAGGAACAATTCCTACAGAAATGTGTGGGAAAGAAAGTGTAGAAAGTTGGGTGGAGATGATTTTTCGCCCCAAATTTTGATTTCGTCCAAAGAAGAGTTTGTTGTGACTTGGGATTCCCTTAATGGAGGTTGTGGTTTACATATCCTTGATGCCAGATGCGACAAAAAAAAGCACCATCTGCTGGAAAACCGCGATGATATTGTTGGATGCAAATTTGCTTGTGACAATGATTCTTTCCTATGCTGCACTAGAGACAACTTCCTTCGATTGTTTCACCTAAGAACTGGTGACCTGCTTTGCTTGTTGGATATTGAGGAGAGACCGTTCAGTCTGGGTGCCTGCGCACGTAGCGATCTTGTAGCTGTTGGTTTGTCCTCAGGTAGATCGAAATTCATCCAAGTGAAGCTGCCAAGAAGAAAAGAATCAGAAAGAAAAGGTATAAAGCTCATGAGGCTATCAGCATTCGTTTTTAGTCTTTTATTTTTTATGGAGGTCAATACTGATGGTACAAATCATAATTAATCAAAACAATCCATCTTTTAAGCCCCTAAAGTTCTTATTCACACCGTTTTATTCCGCTATAGCTTTTTTTAGCTGAGTTGAAGCAATAGATTTGTCTTTTTGATGATAGTTATTTGGAGACCAAAGACGGTTTACATTGCTTGTCAGAATTCTTATTGTGGGCAAAATTACGCGGCTAAAATCACTGCTGCAGTTTTAGTTTTAATGCTTTGGAAGGGAATAAACAGTCGTAATCCAGACATTAAAAGATGAAACAATTTTTAGTGTAATAGAAAAAATCCGAGCCCCAGATGGGACTTGAACCCACGACCCTCCGTAAACTAGTCGGATGCTCTAACCACTGAGCTACTGGAGACTCTATGGTGAGCAAGGGTCAACTTGTGGGCCTCGACTGGAACCGCATCGCGCGGCTACACAGACAAGTATTGGTAAGCACCTGTGAAAACTCACTAACAGCATCACGCTGTCACATTAAGGCATATCAAGATGCGGCCAACCAACCTCCAAAGTGAGCATGTAAAGATGAAACAATTTTTAGTGTGATAGAAAAAATCCGAGCCCCAGATGGGACTTGAATCCACGACCCTCCTTAAACTAGTCGGATGCTCTAACCACTGAGCTACTGGAAACTCTATCGTGAGCAAGGGTCAACTTGTCAATTCAGACATTGGTCGGTAATTTATAAGCGGAGACCATTTAAATTTATAAGGGAATACTTGTATATGAACCAAACCATACGATCCAAATGATTGTGAGTTGTTGACAGAAGAGACAGGAACGTGGTCGGTAAATGAAACAGCCAGAACAAAACGAAACGGATGAAGAACAAATTTCATCACTAATTTTTATTTTTCCTTACGCAGTCCATGGTGGGGCGAGAACTTATTAAAATGTTTTTTATTTTATTAATTACAATACGTAATAGACTGGGTTAAGGCTGGTTTTTCTTAATTAATTTTTTTTCCAAAACTTTCCTGAAACGTCGCGAGGAAAATTGTGGCACTCGAAATGTATTGCGGAACTCTGCATCAGCTCAGATTGAAGTTTACATGTCTGTTTTTTAATTGCAGGTTTATTAACCAAAACCAAGTGAGATTGAATAGAAGAATCTCAGGGAATTTTCGCTGCGTTCAAGAATCGTCACGTAACATTGAAACAACTCTTAAAAACCAATCCACTGAACAATATTGACTATAGGTCGATCAATACGATGATATGAAAGATTTCGATAATTCACTGAGGTTTAAATGCAGCAGTTTTTGCGCCTAGTATAAAACTAGCGGAAACAGAGCAGTCAAACGTGTGCGCATGTTCAAAAACCAGCAGCAGTTTTCGAAACCAAACTGTCAAATGCTCCCGCATTTTCAATTTGAATTGGCGCAACAAAAATTGTCCAGCTGCAACAACGAGATGCATCAAGTGCAACAAAATTGGACATTTTCCTGAAATATGCAGGAGTACACCTGTTAACTTGGTTAGTCAAGTTTCAGAAACTGAGGGTGATATTTGCCCCACATTTGTTGGAGGAGTTACGACGCCCAGTTCAACTTCCTTACCTCTAACACCCACCATAGAACCAGCCAGTATTCATCAAACCTCCACCTCTGACTCTGGCTGGTATGTCAAGCTTAAGGTTCAAGACCAGGAGCTAACATGGTGTTTTGACACTGGTGCTCAAGTATCTGTAATGCCGGAGTCCCTTTACAAGGAGTCGTATGGGCCATTATCACAAGCAGACAGAGAGCTTGTTGGAGCAGGAGATGTTCCCCTGAGGACCCTTGGATTTGCGCCTATGACTCTTGCCTTGCACAAAACTAGAATCCAGGAAAGAGTATACATTGTCAAAGGGGCATCCAAACTGCTTCTCGGGATACCCGCAATCCGCAGCTTTGGCCTTATTCATAAAATACCAGGAACCTACGGAGTCAATCCAGTCGAGCATACGCGGTCTCCTGATTTTCCACCTCGACTGGACGTAAAGGAGAACATTGTGAAGCAGTACCCGATGCTCTTTCAGGGCCTAGGCAAACTGGAAGGTGAGTACACTATTCGTCTGAAGGATGGGGTCACACCATTTTGTCTGACTACTCCAAGGCGGGTTTCATTACCCCTCCTGAGGAAAGTAAAGCTTGAACTACAACGCATGCTGCAACTTGACGTCATAGAACCGGTAGACGAGCCGACCGACTGGTGTTAACCCATCGTGGTAGTGCCGAAGGAAAGTGGGAATGTTCGGCTATGTCTAGACCTTACAAAGCTCAACCAAGCAGTTCGTCGTGAAGTGTATCAAATGCCTACTGTCGAAGAGACACTCGGTAGCCTTACATATGGATCAGTTTTCTCCAAGCTTGATGCCAATTTAGGCTTTCACCAAATAGTCCTCAACTCAGAGAGTGCTAAGCTAACTACCTTCATTACGCCTTTCGAAAGATTCATGCCCTGCGGAATATCATCAACCCCCGAAAAGAGGATGGATGAAGAGCCTTCAGGAATAGAGGGGGTGAAGTGTCGTATGAACCATATTCTAATCATGGGAAAAGACCAAGCCCAACATGATGAGCGACTTAGGAAAGTTCTCGACAGGCTGGTAGAGAGAGGACTTACGCTCAACCGTCAACCGCGAGAAGTGTTTATTTTCCCAAGGCAGGCTGCAATACTTAGGCCAGATCCTCGACAGTCAGGGGGTGAGGAAAGATCCCTCAAAGGTCAAGCCATTGTGGACATGACAGAACCCAAGGATATTGGAGACCTGAGACGATTCTTAGGATTAGTCAATCATCTTATGAAATTTAGCCCAAATTTGGCGGAGAAAACGGAGCCCCTAAGAGACTTGTTTAAGAAGGAAAATGCTTGGGTATGGGGCCCAGCTCAACAGGAAGCCTTCAAACGCCTGAAAACAGAAATGGCTTCGGAGACTGTACTCGCTCTGTATGACCCAGAAAAGGAAACAACTGTTTCCTCAGATGCAAGCAGTTTTGGACTTGGCGCAGTCCTTATGCAAAAGCAACCATCTGGTGAACTGAAGCCAGTTGCCTACGCTAATAGGTCCATGACTGTAACTGAATGTGGCTATGCCCAAATCGGAAAGGAGGCTTTGGCTATCACGTGGGCACTAGAACACTGGGCAGACTTTTTGGTCGGAAGGAAATTTAAAGTACAAACTGATCACAAGCCGTTAATTCCACTGTTTTCCACCAAGGTTTTCGATGAGCTCCCAGTGCGCATTCAATGTTTTCGAAGGAGACTCCTGAGATTCGATTTTACGATCGAACACGTTCGTGGTAAGTCCCTGTATACAGCCGACTCACTGTCCAGATTTCCTCAGGACGACGAAGCCCATGCATCCAAGTTATGGAATGACTTACACGATGAAGTAGAGTGCTACGTGAATGCAGTACTTGTCACGTTACCGGCATCGGATCAGTGACTGGATGAGATCCGCCGTGAACTGAACAGTGACGATACCCTCAAACTTGTGATGCAGAATGTACAGAATGGGTGGCCAGACGAGAAACGCCGCGTTTTTGGGTCTGTGACAAAGTATTGGAGTGATCGCGGTACTCTTTCCCTCCATAATGGGTTACTTATGAGAGGGCGTCGACTAACTATTCCCCCTAAACTAAGGCCAGATGTACTGAGACGCCTACATGATGGACACCAAGGCCTAAGCAAGACGCGTGCAAATGCCGCCTCGTCAGTCTGGTGGCCGGGGATCTCTAACGACATATGCAAGGTTGTGAGCAGCTGTGCTATTTGCGAGAAGTACCGGAGGGAACGAATAGAGCCAATAAAAGGCACTGCGTTTCCTAATCGACCATGGAGTAGAGTTGGCGTGGACTTCTTCCAGCATAAGGCCAAGACCTATCTCATTGCCGTAGATTATTTCTCTAGAGATGTAGAGGTTTATTTGGTGTCCAAAAGCGTGAACACTTGCCAGACCATCTTACAATTAAAAAAGATCTTGAGCAGACACGGGATTCCCGAGATCCTTTTCACTGATAATGGTCTTCAGTTCGATTTACGCGAGTTTACAACCTTCTCTAATGACTTGCACTTTGAGCACATCACTTCTTCTCCAAAATATCCCCATTCTAATGGAGAGGTCGAACGTGCCGTGCAAACCATGAAGATGATCATTAATAAGAGTAGAGACGAATACTTAGCTCTACTGACTTATAGAGATACTCCATTACACAATGGCTATTCACCAGCCCAAATCAGCATGGGCCGAAAGTTACGCACAAGAATTCCTTGTCACCCCGATGAGCTGCTGCCCCAGGCCCCTGACTACGACCAGGTGAAGAAGAAAGAGAGAGAATACCGAACCAAAGTGAAGTCCTACTACGACCTCAGACATAGAATCGTTGAAGGAGAGGAACTGTCACTTGGCGATCGCGTGTGGATCCCAGACATGAAAGTTGAGGGAACTGTGATCAAGCCACACGAACGTCCAAGATCTGTAGTTATTCAGACCCCAAAATAGCAAAGTGCAAAAAAAAAACAGGAGAATGACTCGAAGAGCTCTCAAGGATAGTCCTCGTTCCTAGTTTACCCTTACAAGCCGTGACAGCCCTGAACCATTTATGAGACATGGCCCTGTAACAGACCTTCCTCCTAACTTTGCTGCGATTCAAGACAGCCCAGTACCAGACTTTCCTGACATACCCGATGCGATCAGAGAAGCATCCCGACATTTGCCTACCCCGCCTAGGAAGCAGACAGTAGAGTACAAGTCTTCACAGACGTAAGCGTGGTCGACTCGTCTCATGCCTAGAGGAGTTATTAAAAGACCACAGAGATACGTCGAAGAATGCTAGAAACTGTTCTTAAGAACTCTTAAGACTATTTATACGTATTCGTGTTTAAAAGGAAAGGAGATGCAGTAACATGAAGTTCCTGTAAAGGCCGCTGACCGGCGAGCGGCAGAGAAGAACCCAAGAGGATTTATTAAAAGCTTGTGTTCTTATCGATCTGTGTAGTATTTGAGAATTCGTGTACCGAACATAACACCATGTAGTATAACTCAGAATCTATTGAGCTCATGATAAGTGGAAATATTGTTGTTTTCGAGGATATAGAAAATTAGTTTAGGGGTCTTCATTTCCTCACGGACAAAGCAGATTTAAGAACGTGTCTCTGTACCACAATTCCTCTATTACCTCCGACGAAGGGCTAACGCTCGAAACGTCAGCTTCTATAATCATTACGGTGGCCAATTTACCATTTCAACTTTATTGATATATCCAAATTATTTCGTTACTCCCACCGACGCAGCCCCAAACAGTTTCTTTCGAAACTATCAGCCTTTATTCATTTGTAAGAATCAAACATCTTGGGAAATGAAAATGTTCAACCATCCTTAAAATTTTCCATGAAGTTAGGCACTCAGGGGGATGCACAAAAATGCCCTTTCAATGGTTGCAGCATTCTTGTTGCCATGGTACCAACGGCTGCTTGTTCGAGGCCTGTTGCCTCATTTTCATACAAAAACATCGCAAAAAAGGTGTAAAATGTTTATTTCTCTATCTCAAGCTAAATACAACATTACAGATTGGTACTTCTAGCATGCATAGTGACAACATTTGTCTTTACTTTGATACATTCAATTTTCCCTGGAATGTGAACACACCAATTGATTACTTATCGAGGTACAGTTTCAGTCATTTTTGCTGTAGGGTAAAACAGGGAAAACGTTTGTCTAAATTTCTCCAAAAGTACACCGATTCTGGAACTGAAACTACGCAATTAGTTGGTTCTAATATTCTAGTTTTTAAATATGTAAAAATCTCTGCGGGCCAGCCCCTAATTTTCATAGTAGCAATACGCTAACGAAGCTCAAAAATCAGATATTGCATAAATTGGCAATGTCTACATCTAATGTTCCCAACAACAAACGTTTCAGACAAATGAAAAGTGCAAGACATTGAAAGAATGTTATCTTCTGAGCAACATCCCGAAGAGAAATCTCGCCTCTAGCTTTAATATGTAAAAAAAAATTATCAACTTTCATGCAGGACTACCTGAGGTAACTACAAACATGTACCTTAAATCCTTAAATCGTGTGCATATCATCCAGATTCCGAGCACTGTACCTTCTCTTATGAGAATTTGAGCAATTCGAAATCCGCTGACGATACACCGTTATACTTGTCTGTCATTTGAAACATGTTAAAGTTGGCTGATCTACACAAAACTATCGTAACACCGGTCATTTGTCATAAACACGTACGTTATCACGATGGCGTGACGCTAGATTTCTCCATGCAGTTTCCATCAGGTCGCTCCAAAAAAGACGAGACATTTTCGATATTTCAGCAGATTTCCGCGCATTCTGAAGTAAAAACAACCAGAAAAAAGTAGAAGAAACCCTTGATTGAACGTTCATGAACACTGAGAGTGAGAGTATAAATCGCAACTTGTCAGCGGTAGTACTACATGTAAAACCCAGTTGCCACAATAGCAATTTGTACTACATTGCATCTCCTTATAAAGAGCAGGTTCGGGCAGTTGTCCTTTCCGGGTGACAGGAACTGAGATATTTCGAATCATCTGATAACTGTTAGAAAACTGTCAGAAAATTTGCATAAGATATGATAACGAGAGACTTATCACCATCGCAGTTCAATGGGGTCAATCAATGTTTTCTTCCATGTCTTGATCAAGGAAAATAGATTTAATGAAATCACAATGTCTTAATTCCTTCTTTCAAACTACTTGTCATCCACACGCAAAGCGCAACTCGTAACTGGAATGAAACTCCCTCATGGTTGATATGTAATCTGGATTGCTTCAAGTTCTTCAGAAGAAAGAATAGTGATTTCATCACGATTATTTTCCACAGTTTTTTTCTTGGATGTATTTTATAAGCTTACAGAAAGATGAATATAACGCAATCTTCCGATGATTTACACGACAGGAAGTCAAAGGTCTCTTTAATTTCCCCCTGAGGTGGCTGGCTCACCTGGAAGAAGGAGACCGTTCGGTCCAATAACGCTAGTCTGTGGAGATTATCAAGCTAATAACTGAGAAGATTGTGCCCGTTGGTTCATCAGTGACAAATCTGTACTCCTCGGTCTATGCGACACCAAAAAAAAAAGAACCTTTGTAATTTTGTAGGCACTCACTATAGCATTTTATTGTCAAGAAAAAGAAATCTCAAAGCTCAAAGCCAAAATACTGTTCAAGCATGGAAAAGATTCCCTGAAAAAAACTAAATTTGTAGAAAATGATTGTGATAAAATCCCTGTTCCATTTGCTGTAATGAGAGGATACTGAGTTGTTCAAAATCTCCACCTTCTAATATCTTTCGCGCGAGTGGTGGGTTTTACATGTAGTACTACCGCTGACAAGTTCTAATTTATGCTCTCACTCTCAAGTGTTCACGAACGTTCAATCAAGGTTTTTTTTTTTTTTTTTTTTTGGGTTGTTTTTACTTCAGAATGCGCGGAAATCTGCTGAAATATCGAAAAATGTCTCGTCTTCTTTGAAGCGACCTGATGGAAACTGCATGGAGAAATCATTTACGGTGTATCGTCAGAGGATTTCGGATTGCTCAAATTCCCATGAAAGAAGGTACAGTACTCAGAATCTGGATGATATGCACACGATTTAAGGTACATGTTTGTAGTTATGTCAGGTAGTCCTGCATGAAGCTTGATCAATTTTTTTTAAATTTTAAAGCTAGAGGCGAGATTTCTCTTCGGGATATTGCTCAGAAGATAACATTATTTCAATGTCTTACACTTTTCATTTGTCTGAAACGTTTGTTGTTGAGAACATTAGATGTAAACATTGCCAATTTATGCAATATCTGATTTTTGAGCTTCGTTCGCGAATTGCCACTATGAAAAGTAAAGGCCGGCCCGCAGAGATTTTTACATATTTAAAAACTAGAATATAAGAACTAACTAATTGAATAATTTTATCTGGGGTAGTACTACTATTTACTTTATACATTAAGGTTAGTTGTTTCTTTTTCGTTATGATAGTGGCTCCCATCCGGTTGTCTCTAAGACATCTTGATCTGGTATGTCTCGTGGCAGTCTATGAATGGATTTAGCTTCCCTTGCATGTATACGTTCAAGCTCATTCATCAGAGATAGTTTGCTAGTGCCCCAAAGTAATTAAAGTACAGTAAGTAATAGTGGGGACAATGCTACTGAAGTAAATTGTTTTTAGTGTTCTTGTTGGTAAATATTTGAATCTTTTAAGCTGCCTTACTTTCTTTCCAAAGGATTTTCAGAGGTACTCTGAATGGTTTTGCCAGGAGAACAGGGAGTCGATAATGACCCCCCAGGCATCTTGTTTCGGAGACGACATTCAAGATCTTATCTCCTAGAGTGATGGGTTTTAATGGTCCACAAAAGGCTTTGTGGGATATGATCACTCGCCAAGCACTTTGCCATTCGTAAGTAATTTTAGGAGTTTTACACAGCAGGTACCATAATGATCGGACTTTGTAGCCTTTGCAAGTTCCTGTTCCAACTTTCTCTCAAACTATTAAAATACAGAACATTTTAAGATCTGTTGACGTTCATTTAATGGCGCAAATGAGGTGATTCGACACTTAAGATTCTTTGGGATAGCAGGAAATTTGCATTAATTGTCGGTAACGTCTCATGTTTGTCTTGATATGATAATTTGGCCCCGGATGTGAACATTACGAACGATGCCTGGGGGGGGGGGGGTTTGCCTATTAAAAATCTGCAGCAGCCCGAAACCGAGCTGTCAAATACTCCCGCCATATCAATTTGATTAAGCGAACAAAAATGCAAAACATAAAACTACGCCATTCCCGAGGCCAGCTCAACCTATGGAGTCGACAGCTCTTTTGTTTCAGACGAGCCTATGGAAAAGAGTAACTTCTTACAAAAATACAAAAAAACTATCTCTGCATGATGGCGAGGGCTTGTTACTCTTACGCCTTCTTCACCATAAGAATTCTACATTCGAGACTTGATACGTTCGCTCCGTTTGCCTTTTTTTCTCTCTCTCTTTTGAGAACTTCACTTTCGTCTGTACTGAAGAATTCGGAGAACTGTTTTTTTTTATAAAACGAAAACTTTCACCTTCGGCTGTCAATGATGTCAACGCCACAGTTTGGGCTGAAGAAGTTAAACATCGTAAGCGATACAGCAGAGAAAATCCACCAACCGTCCTTTAACGTTGTCGTGCTAAGCAAATAGCTTGAGGGCAATTAAACGCGTGAATTGGAAAATTTGACAAACATATCAAAGAACATTGTGAATAATGCAAGTTGACTAACGTTTCCAAATAGCGCAGAAGAAATTAGTCGAGACGCCAAGCCGAGGAAAGCTTTGCTTTGGCTTGGTTTTGTAAATTGGTGAGTTTTCAACTTCAGCATAACTTTGAAGTTTAAACTCAAAGCTCGAACAGAATTAAAAGCTCCACAAATATTTGGAAAAATAGTCGTAGTCAAAAGCTAATGCAAATGACATGGACAAAGACGTCCACGGGCAAGGT